AACAAAAATTTGAAATGACAAAATTTAATTTGATTTTGTCGGGAAATTCTAGTTCTGTCCAGTAGAGCGGATAGGCCCGAACACTAAATGTTACTTTGGCCTTTGGATGCAATTTCCACAGAGCCAAACTCGTAGTGTTATCAAGGTAGACTTAAACATTGCATATTTCTGTTCTTTCCGCATTGAAAAATAAACGCAAACTCATTCACCGAGATTTACAGAAAACAAAACGTCAAAAAAATTTAGGAAAAATACGTACACAATGCAAACTATGCACACTATGCATGTATCTGCAAACTAATCATGAAAATCTATGAGACCGGAAGTTTGCGAGACCCCTCTGTTCCACTGTTCTTTCCCAAGGTCCGTACCACCTATGATTTTCATCAGATGCTGTTGCAACTTTCACCGGAAGTTGTGTCACGCAATTTAAACTGACCTTAGCAAATAGATGCGTACATCTAATGAGTTCCGGTACGCATATGTGACTACTTCCGCTAAAACTGATTCTTAGAAGATACCTAAAGGATAAAATTTACTCATATGGTAACACATGTGCACAAACGTGGCAAGGGAATTTTCGTGTAGCAGTGGTGAAAGTCAATTCAATCGTGTCTTCAAAATTAAAGGTATTCTGACTTAATCGTATACATATCTTATTACACGTTTTGGTGTGTAGTCTCGCCGAGTATTTTTACGACTTGTGCCGTACTTTGACGAGACTTTAAGGCGTGTCAAAATATATAAAACAAGTAAAATTACTTAGCGATACTACAACCAAAACGTTTAATATGTTATTTATCATCCAATCATTTTTTTGCGAAGTATTTCTGCTCATTCCTTATAGGGCAGGAAAAGAAAAGTGGAGAGAGAAACGTAGGGCGCGCAGCCGACCAGTTAAACAGGTTTTTTTACAGTACAAAATAACCAACAGTCCAAATAACCGTACAATATCGCAGGGTATTTGTACTCTATTCACGCGTTATTTGAACTCTACTTTGTGCAGTTGGATAATACTGTAAACATTTTCGCGTTTGGTCGATCCTTCTTTACTTTAATTAGTTATTTCACGGACGTGCACCGGAACCTTAGTTGATGTAAATGTGCGGTTTTAGTCTCGAAGGAAGAGGCAAATGAGAAATGATGGCGTCTCTACCAGTGAGCTTTCTTCGAGTCACTTTGTCCGGTAGTAGCAAGTCCCTAGAGTCTCATTTGCGCGGCAGACGAAAACAAAGATGTTAGTCAAAGTAATAATAAGGATATGATAATTTCAAGTTCTGTGTATATTTAAAACATGCTTAAGCGCTTTGAGTAAAAGAAAGAGAAATTGAATTACCTTTCTCTCCGTTTCTTATACCTGTGGATGTCAGCCGTTTCTCTCTTCCAGCTGGAAAATGAAATTGAAGAGTTTTCACTTTCCAAATCCCGGAAGACTTTCGAAATCATGCTCGATTCGTGCCCAGGGCATCTCGAAAGTTGAATACCTCGTTTCCGAGAGAGGAAATGAGGTAAATAAATGGTTACAAATGCATAGGAATGGCTTCAATCAAATCTTTCTCCTGTGGCAGAGTCTGGTATTGAAGAAGTCGATCCAGCTTGCCGAGGTTACTTTAAATTTGGTACGAGTACATCAGCCCTGAATCAACAGAACCTCGAAACGCGACAAGCAACATCCACTTACACAATGGCTCAGCATGTCGCTCAGGCGTTGGACGTAAGTGCATCAGCCTATACCAATTGCATCGGGTAATCACCGTAAACGAATGAGGGGATCACTTCCACCAATGGGCTCGAAATAATAACTAATGGATCACTTGAGCTGCTCTGTAACTTAAAATTAATTGTATGAAAAGGTTTAACTTCTGTTTTGGTCTCCACTCTTATGATACAACACGCACTTTATCCCAGTCTAGAAGGATTTGGCAGAGGCCAACATTTCCCCTTGATCCTTTAAAATGGTCATG